GTTTCAGAAAATAACATTTTAATGTAAAAAGAATCACTTGAAACCTTAGTGTAAGCTTTTAGAACAGTTAAAAACAACAAATTTTACATTTCTTATAAACGTACCAAAGCCTACTATAAAATTATTGATGAGAGTTATTGTTAATTCTTCATTTTGCAGGCTTTTTCAGAAAATTTAATTGTTCAGTCATTTCTTCATCGATTTCAAAAAACTTTATATCGTCAGATAGCTAAAAGGACTGGTTTTCGGAGCAATAAAAAATATACGGGGGTTCCTTTAAAAAAATTAACAAATACGTCCTTAAAAACAGCCATTTTGTTTTTCAGTAAACCGGAAGTGCTAAATAATTTTGGATTGACCGAAATAAAACTTGGAATAATTTGATATATTTCGGTGAAAACCGCGTGTTTTTAAGTACTTTCGTTTAAAAGTTATAAGCTTGCTAAATGTTGGAGAATATAATGGGACACCCGGTATATTGAAGCTTCTTTATTATGGATTGGTGCAGTCTACTTTACTTTAATATTTTGGGGTGCCATCATCTCACTTCATCAAAGTATTTGTTGTACAGAAAAAAGTAATGACAGCTTTATATAACGTATCACCACTATAAAAAATTTAACTCTATACATTTTTCATTAGATTAATACTATAAAAACCAATATTCAATAACAGATGTCCTTCTATTTGCTAAATACCGGTGTGCTGCAGTTTTTCCGAATTTCCTCAAAAAAAAAGTGAGTTTTCAAGGTTTTCATTTTCCGAATGAAAGAGACACAAAGAAGGCTACCAAAAAATCTTAATTATTTTATAACTAGTAAAAGTTATCTTTTTTTTAAATTATTTTGAAAATAAAGTACCTATTTTTACCTTAATAACCTTAAAAAAATTATTTGGGGTCGTAGAAAAAATATACTTTACAACTAGAGTGGATTTTATGTATTATCTTAATTTATAGTAATTGTCACCCACTCTTAAATAGTTTTCGAAATTGGAGAATATTTTTTTCTCATAAAAATTAAATATTTATAAATTTTTCCAAAAATTTACGTCTTAGAATTTTGACATTTGGTGAGTTTTTGTAAGGTTTTCATTTTCGGAATGAAAGAGACATTAAGAAGGCTACCAAAAAATCTTAATTATTTTATAACTAGTAAAAGTCATCTTTATTTAAATTATTTTGAAAAAATGAAGTAGCTAATTTTACTTTAATAACGTTAAAAAATTATTTGGGGTCGTAGAAAAAATATACTATACAACTAAAGTGGATTGTATATATTAGCTTAATTTATAGTAATTGTCACCTATCCCTAAATAGTTTTCGAAATTGGAGAATATTTTTTTTCCAAAAATGTAGAAATTTCCATAACCAATGGTAGGTACATATTATTTTGACCAGGGGCGGTTTCTCCATTGGTTCATTTGTGTAGTGAACACCCAGTTAAATTTCATAAAAACACATTATTTTAATATTATATAAATAACATAAAAATATAAATTTAATTTTAATATTTTTATTTTCATACGTGTTAATCTATATTTTTTTGTACATCATTGTCTTCTGGCTGATCGCGTCTCTGTTATGATGAGTACGCCTAACACGAGTGAGACGATATGCCGAATGCATATAGCTAAAAAGAGAAGACAACACGCCAGTCTAGTACAATTCACAATTGTACTAGATGTAGTACTTTCTGCGTGCATCAGTGTTCACGTGTAAACTATATATATTGTGTTCCTTGTTTGGGTTCGTTATCAATAAAGACTCCCTTTTTTCCCTTTCAATGAATTAGATGTCACTGCAAATAGAATTCGAAAAATCTGATACATTTAAGGAATCTGGTATATTTTTTAGACAAATCTGGTACAAAACAAAAACATGTTCTGGCAACACTGTACCAAATCAAACAAACTGTCACTGTCATTAGTGTCATTCCTCTGCTATTAAATACGTTAAATAAAAACATAAGATTATTTTAATCCTGCTTATTTAAAGAAAAGTGTTTTATTAATAACTGTGTCTTCAATAAATTAAAAGTATGTGTGCCAATTCAACGATTGTTCCCGAAAGGTAAATTAAAATTTTTAAGATGTTGATTTTTTTGCCTATCATAAAATTTTACGACTGTAATTTGTTTTATATTTTGTTTCAGTGTCTAAGACCATCCAAAGACTACTTTAAAATGGTCTATTTTGTACTCAATTGTAAATACTATAAAGTAAGAAGTAAGCAAAAAATTTGTAATTTTTTTTCCACAAAACCCGCCAAAAGGAAAAATTTAATTAATCTAATGAGGTAAATAGATATCATTATGGAAATGTACAATAAAAATTTGATAAAGATAAAGAGAAAAATGGTTTTTCACTTTTAAAGTATGAATCAGAAAAAAGGATCAACCAGTTAATTTAATATATTCGATGAGAAATTTTACCTAAGAAATGGTATGTACATTTAAATAGTTTACCTATATAAATTTATGTTTGCCTATAATTATCAATCGTGTTGCCCTTTAACCTAGATCGTTTGTTACATACAAACCAGAAATCTTTTATTTTAATGACATTTTTTTATTGCCTTATTTGTATAATTTAGTATTTTCAAAAATATTAGATGTTATGGTAATTTGGATCACTGCAGGTATTAAATAAAAATATGGCTGTTGGTAAATTAGTTTACTTAACAAGTCACATCCCACATATCTACATGATCTGGCTAATCAATCCTATAAGTACATATCAAAACATTAATATACTATCTACAATTAAACAATAATTTGAAAATACAGATGAAGTCATTTTACATATTTAGACAAAATACTATTATTTTGTTATTTATTAAAACACACTATTTTTTAGTGAACATGGACACGCAAAAGTCTGTCGTACGGGTATAGGACAGAGCGAGAGCTAAAATGATTTGAAATGTGCTGTGAAATACACTTAGAAAGGGTCATATGGAGAATTACATTACATTACATTTTACGATGTGTATCTTACTAGTTTAGTTCACAGTTTTATGTAAATGTTCAATTACGTGCTGCTATTTCAAACTTTTAGTATCCTTTGATAAAGGAAGTTGAATATTATTGTTGACCTTTTTAAATTGTTTATTTTACCTTATACATTTTTTTTTCTACACTTCATACAGTATTATGTGAAGAGTATTATAGGTTTACTTTGTCTGTTTGTCCGATGTCACGTTTTTTGTCTGCACGATAAGTCAAAAACGAGAAATGATATGAACTTGAAAATTTTTAGCAAAAATCAAGCTCTATAAGGGGCCAAAGCCTATTGATTTTTAACAAATCTGATTAAAAATAGGGGTTAAGATGGGTTGAAATTAAAAAACGAAAAGCGATATCAATATGAAATTTTTAGTAAAAATGAAGCTTTAAAAGAAGATAAAGCCTATTGATACTGAAAAAAATATGAATATATTGGGGAGTTAAGGGGGGTTAAAATATAAAAAAAAATCCTAACTGAAAAACTTGAAATGTTTAGCAAACATCAGTCTCTAAAAGGAGAAGAAGCCCTTTCATTATAAAAAAAATCTGATTAAATATGGGGGATTTAAGGGGGGTTGAAATTAAAAAAAAAATCACAAATGAAAAGCGATATCAACATGAAATTTTTAGTAAAAATCAAGGTCAAGGTCTATTGTGAAAACAATGTTTTTAAAAATGGGGGTTAAGGGGGTCTGTTAAACTGCAAAGAGTATAATTTAAAATGCCAGGCGTATAGTAATTTAAAACATTTTTTATACAATATAAATTTATAGTATGTAGTTAGAAATAAGTAATTTATCATATTTAAACTTTGATTAATATTTTTTTTTCCTGTTAATTTTAATTTTACCACACACAAATAACTAAAAGTTATTTCAGTGGATTACTGTGTTTATTAATTAAGATAAAAACATACTGTATTATATTATGTGGTTAAAAATTAATAAACATATTATTATTATTATTATTATTATATTATTATATATCTTAATTCTAGTTTGTGTCTGTGTAATATAATGTATTGTGATGGGACTGATCTTATAAAATAAACATTTAAAACATTTTAGTTCTTATTTTATTTGCCAATAAAAGGTATTTATTAAATATATTTTTTATTTGACATCTGTAACAAATTGTGAAAATGATTGAACTTACAATAAAAACTAAAAAATGGTAGGTAAAGTTTCATATAAATTTTTTTACATAAAAATCAATGTCAAGCTTTCTACATAACCTGATATATATTTAAAAATAATCTCAAATTATGAAGAAAAGTCAGTTTACTAACTAATAATGTTTATAGATGGTTTTCAACGTATTAAAAACAAAACAAATATCACACTAACTAAAATATTCATTTATTAATGGTTGTAGTACTTGAAATCAGTATGATGTTGATAATAATAACTACACTTAATACAAACTGAAATAATAATAAAAAAACAGTGATATTGACTCTTGTAGAAAGTTTTGATCCGAACTTACATATGATAAAATTATTGGAAAAAGTGAACACCCATTTTCAATTACCACGAGCCGCCACTGATTTTGACGGTTTGAAAAAATATACCGTACAACTAAAGTGGATTGAATGTATTAGCTTAATTTATAGAAATTGTCACCTACCACTAAATAGTTTTCAAAATAGGATTTTTTTTTTATAAAAATTAAATATTTATAATTTTTTCTAAAAATTATCCTCCTAGAATTTTGACATTTGACCTACAAAAATATAGAAATTTCGTACATATTATTTTGACGATTTGACATTTTTGATTTTACAGGGTGGGTAGTAATTATAAAAATACCATGGAGATTTATCGTATAGTTTTCCCGATTTCGGTGAATTTCGCAAGTTTTCGTTTTCATTTTTGGAATCAGGGGGCATACATGTTTAAGAGCGGATTTCATCAGAACAAAATTCCACCCGTGTTCGTTTCTTAAGAAAAAAATTGAGGGTTTATAAAAAAACTAAAAAATGTAATTGAAACTTACCCGTCACTAAAACAACCCCGGCCAGACAAACGAAGAAGAAAAAACCCCGATCACACAGCAGTCTCGAATACATCATAGTAGCCACTGTTCGAGAAACGCGACCCGCGAGATACCAGTAGGAAAAACGCAGATATAAAAAAAAGAAAAGACTATCGCGAATATCTCACGACTTGCGGCAGAGATCTGAGAATGTGAGAAGCAGCGCTCGGCTTGCTAGATCCGCACCGTGAATAAGGAATAACAGAACTGACGTGAGTCGCAGTTGGCCGAGAGATTTTCTGGCCTATATTATCCACCTCTTCTGTAAAATTGTGGAAAGAAGCAAGAAGAAACAAGAACGGCTACTACTACGACGAGAAAGAAGACGAAGGCGCATTTTAATCTTAGCCTATCTGTGCATTTGTCTTTGTGCTGGGCTAATTGCAGATCTGCACTGATAGCTTTTTGTTTATTACGTATATCTAACTTTTTCGCTGCCGATATCGCGTCTTCTTTTGTCTTTGTCCGCATAAGAGCATTATTTGCCGCTAATAAAACTACCGTAATGCGAGAAAAATGCGATTTTATCTCTCACAAGCGATTTTATCTCTCACAAGCGATTTTATCTTGCTATCAGATTTGTAGATTACATTACAGATAGAACATTTAGAATGAAGCAGGAAGAAGTTTACTCGGAACCAAAAGAAATCGAAGCAGGAATACCACAAGGATGTGTAGTGGAACCTGTACTTTATTTACTATACACCAGTGATATTCCTGGACTAATTATTATACTCTTTACCTTTACACAGTAGTCTGTGTCCGTCCGATGTTACGTTTTCAGGAAAAATCAAGCTCTATAAGGAGACGAAGACAGGCTCGGCGATAGGAAGGGGCAAGGGGTCAAATTCCCATAGGTCCAGCAGCTTTAAAAAATTAGGTTATATTATGTGAGGTTCCCTGGACGAAGGCTATGGATTTTGAAAAATCTGATTAAAAATTATTCACTTCAATATAAGAAGTATAAAAAATGTTTTGATGACGTTTGTTTACACGTATCCCAACTTACAATATTACCTGAATCAATGTCAAACATCTGTCATAAATATATATGTAATAAATGATTATAACTTCATTTATAAAAATGAAAATTTAAATATGCTCGTAAATGATGGAGTTATTGCTTTCTTCAAAAACGAATTAAATTTTGATTCAAAATTAATAAAATTTGGAGTTGTAACTGTAATTACCACATTATCACAATGTTTTTCCGTCCAGATATGTTTAATCTACGTTTTAATATGTTTTAATATATGTTTTAATATTTGTTGTAATATATGTTTTAATATATGTTTTAATATATGTTTTAATATATGTTTTAATATATGTTTTAATATGTCTTAATATATGTTTTATTATATGTTTTAATATATGTTTTAATATATGTTTTAATATATGTTTTAATATATGTTTTATTCTGTTTTAATCTATGTTTTATTCTATGTTTTAATTTTTGTTTATGTTTTAATCTATGTTTTAATCTGTTTTAATCTATGTTTTAATCTATGTTTTAATCTATGTTTTAATGTATGTTTTAATCTATGTTTTAATATATGTTTAATCTATGTTTTAATCTATGTTTATTCTATGTTTTAATTTATGTTTTAATATATGTTTTAATATATGTTTTAATATATTATGTTTTAATATATTGACATAAATTATAGGGCTATATATGTTTGAATTGTCAATAAACACGTATTTAATGTGCTAGGTAAAAATATGAATAATTATTGTGTGATATTTTTTTATTTATTTTCATATGATTTTAGTACTTGATCAATTATCATATAACCATGTCATTAATTATACGAAATTGCCTTTTATTTAATTTTTTTTCCTCCGGCTATTACTCATGAAGTCTTGGGTTCAGGCGTTACTCCTTTTAAAAATAAAATATTTAATTAAATTCCCTTTTATAATTTAAACTGTTATTCTCCCGAATAATTGTAAAACCCCAATTATCATTAAAATATTCCTTTTCAAAGAAACTTTAATTTCATTTGTTTACAATTACGTTTATTAACATTTGAGTTGAGAAAAAGATAAAGAAATATAAAAAGTTATAATTTAAAATTCTCATGGATTAAAAATGGCAGACATGTCATCTCTATTCTGTTACCTTGGAATAAATAATTTTTATTTTCTTATGCTAATGCAATTCTAGCTTACTGTAATTGGCTTCTTATTATTCTGGTAGAGAGCTCTGCACCTTTTACCTAAATCTAAGAAATTTATTTACAAACTTTATGGTGTACGTGACAAGAATGTTTGTTTAGATTAAAATTGGAATTCAATCAATAGAACTGTTAAAAAAAAAAACATTTTAAAAGTAAGTTACTTGTAGTAATACTCTTTTATTGACTCATCAGCTTAATCCTTGTTAATGTTATTCATAATTTTCAGGAATTGGAAATGTATTTTTTTTGAATATGGACGAAATGGTTGATCCTCACAAAAACTCGTTTGTTTGCTCACCGACCAAATTTCAACACACAAATTTCTAGTTAAAGATAGGTATTCTTACTCACTCAGTATAATATGAAAATTTATAAATAAATTTGAAAAAAAAATTCAAAAGTTGGAAAAATTCTACATTCAAGAATCAACAACCCCTTAGTGTCCCCTTAGTTACGCTAAAGGTAAGTTCGTATGTGTTTTACTTTATACTAGTGAAATAACTTTTTGTGATCATTGCAATTTGATTTTTGTTATGGTTATTTTTTATAATTCTTTTAATGGTCTTTTATGGTATATATTTTAAAGTAATTCTTACGAAAACAATCATATTTGTTATAATAACTGTTTTAACTGTTGTCTATTTTTAATTTGTGACAGCTAGAGTTTTATTTACCTATAAGGTTATTGTACTGATTGTCACAGTGTACAGTTTGTCCCAACTTTAAAATTTACTTTTGGTTATACCATTTCAATATGTTTTAATGTATGTTATAATGTTTGTTTTAATATATGTTTTAATATATGTATATGTATTAATATGTTTTAATATAGGTTTTAATATGTTTTATTACACGATTTATTATATGTTTTAATTATGCACGAATTGTATTTAAACAACTTCTTGCGGTACTTCCTGTGAAATTTTTGTATTTTTACCTATATTTGTAATTATTATAAAAACAGTTGTATTTTTGATATGGTAAATAAACGGTTTTATTTTTATATAAATATAAATAACATCAGTAGAATTCAATTAAAATCATTTAAACCGTAACACCCGAAACAAAAAACGATTGATTTGAGACAGGTAATGCATGTAAGACCATCACGTCACTTCTGTTTATGTGCTCGATTGCCTACTTGGCGTAGAGTAGCTCTATTTCAAACTCTATTGGTTAAACATAACGTCAGTTAAGTTGGCTTTGATATTGGAAGTTTCTAAAAATGTTTATTTTTACTTGCAAAGCGTGTAACTTTAAAGCATTACGTCAAAAGGGAGATAAAAGATAGTACCATTGTTTTTAGTTTGTATACTATTTTGGATTCTAATATTGGCTGAATTTAAAACGCAGTTTCAAGACTGGTTAATTATTTTGTCGAATATTTACATAACAGAGCCGTATTTAAACAGAAGTTAACGATATTAACATATGATCCCTGATTTGTTTTTATTTTTTAAATAGCCCCCGTATATATAACCTTTCCGGATTACTTTTCCGCGTTTCCAAACAGCCGACCACTTATCGCTAGCCGTTAATAATTTTAGCACCTCGATTCTTTTTCCTAAAAACCAGTAAAAGCCACTTTCCTATATAATCACAGTCAACTAACTTTAGGTGGGTTTGAAAGTTTTTTAAATCATTTATTCGAAGAATGTGTTAATAGCACATTCACATTCCAATTGAAAAGTGTGTTTATGCATATCATTTTAATAACCGCAACAACTTCACCTTTCTTCTTTCTTCGGTTTCTTCTCGAGCGCTGTGTGTGTAAATGGCAATAAACAGATGGATCGAGTTTAGTAGACCTCGTTGATAAGTTCGATTAGGTAATTAATAATGTATTTATGGCCAATAATTGTTCGAATTGACCATCTTACCAATAACAAATTGCTACAATTGTTATGTCAGATCGATATCGACTGATTTTGTTGTTTTCAATTTTGGATGATTGATTGAGATGAAAGAAATGGATTTACTGCCAAAATAAGATAAGTTACATTTTCTTAGTTTTGAGTAAATTAAGTTTAAAAGATTTAACCTACACTAAAATAACTTGATCAAATAAAATATTTATTAAGTGGTAAAATAACATATATTGTGGTACTATAAACATAATTTTTACCTGAAATAAAAAAAATAATAATTAGCAAATACCGGGTGTCCGCGCGAAAACTTTAAATGGAATTATTTCTGGTGTTTTAAAATATATCGACTTGAAATTTTGGAAGGTCATTAAGGAAGTAGGGGGTAAATTAATAGTGTATAAGATACCACTCCAACGTGATATCTGCCGCCCCCAGCCACCCCCGGTTCAAAAGTTTAAATGACAACCTGTATTTTTTTTTACATATTCTGAAAGAGCGTAGTTTTTTTAGTATCTCTATGTGAAAAAATTACTTAATTACATAATGAACTTAGAAAGATATTTACAGCTAAAGGTTCAGATACCAGATATTAAAAAAAAGAACTTGGACAGTAGACAAATTTTAAAATAATTAAAGCAGATAGAAACAAAAAAATCTAATTATCCAAAAAAATATAACTTATCACAAAAAAATACAACTTATCACAAAAAAATACAACTTATCACAAAAATAGGTATTCTTATAGACCAACAAATTTTCGCTTTATAAACTAAAGTAAGGACTCTTTTTATTTTTTTAGTTAAATCAAATGTTCAAAATGTTCACCGTTTACATTTAAACAATAGTACAGTCTATTCTCGAAAGCGTTCCGAATATTTTCAAAGACATGTGGTGTTAAATCTCTACATTCCTCTATGATTCTATTACGCAAATCATCAATGGATTGTGGTGGTGTCCTGTAAACAACAGACTTCAAATGTCCCCATAAAAAGAAATCCAGTGGGGTCAAGTCTGGGGAGCGAGCTGCCCATTCAATAGGACCCCTACGACCTATCCATTGTCCTGGAAAAACGGTATTTAAATATTGCCTTACTTCTAAACAGTAATGAGGAGGAGCTCCGTTTTGCTGAAAGTATAACTGATCCTCCT